CCAGCACTTTGGGAAGCCGAGGCAGGTGAATCACCTGAGATCAGGAGTTCGAGATCAGCCTGGCCAACGTGGTAAAACCCTGTCTCTACTAAAAATACAAGAAAATTAGTTGGGTGTGGTGGCGGGTGCCTGTAATCCCAGCTACTTGGGAGGCTGAGGCAGGAGAATCACCTGAACTCGGGAGGCGGGGGTTTCAGTGAGCCGAGATAATGCCATTGCACTCCAGCCTGGGCAACAAAAGTGAAACTCCATCTCAGAAATAATAATAATAATAATAATAATAATAATAATAATGGGAGGAAGAGAGACATAAAAATGTTGTTATATGACATAGACATGTGGATAGTTTGCCTTTGTAGACAGGCACTAAAAACAGTCTGATCAAGAAAATCGATACTGGAAAAACTGTGTTTTTTGTGTAATCGATCTGGGCCGTGAGAAACAGGTGATCTTTAAGATGGTATAGGGATCACCTGTGCTATGTACTATAAATAAATTTAGAAACTGTAAAGTCTTGAGAAAAAAACAGGTCATAAAAGGCTTGGACCACATTGAGTAGAAACTCAATAAATGCCCGATGATAGTAATATTTTCTAGGCTGTTCAATTAAGTTATTGATACTTACAAAAAAATCACTGCTCAGGAAAACAAAATAGTGTTTAAAAATGTCATTCAGGCTGGGTGCTATCATGTTTCTTTTGTTTTTTTTTAAAACAAAAGAAGATTATTTTTCGCCATGTTGGCCAAAACAAGATTATTTTTCTAAAAACACTTTTTAAATAATTTTTTCTATACTTAGAGGGCCTGGATTTATACAATATTACCTAATTCTGAAAAATAATCCCTGTTGTCTTTTCTACAGTTTGTTTTTTGTGGAGAGAGAAAGGGAATATAAGGGTAATTTGGGTGGACTTGTAAGAAACTTATAATCATTTCTTCCTTAAAACTACAACCACCACTATAACAAAATATCCTATATGTTTTATAAAGTTAGTAACCATTTCTCTTTGAGATTCTTTTTTCCATTTTGAGAAAACTGCGTTTCCTATTAGTTTATGTCTGATTTTGGTGAGTGCCTATAAATCACGGCTAAACTCTCATTTTGTGGTCTTTTCTCTGACTACCTTGTTACATTTTTAACAAGTAAATTGCTTCCTCATGCTTAGGAGAGACAGTGCCTATTTGCTCATTCTTCATAACACTTTATACTGTGCAGTTCTTTCCTACTCTGGAGCCAGCAGCTGAAATACTATGTATATGCTGAATTCAAACAAATGTTTTGCTGTTGAACTCACCATGAATTCTCTTCCCTTCTTATGTCTTTCAGAAGCTTTGCATCGTCCCTATGGTTGTGATGTTGAACCCCAGGCACTAAATGAAGCTATCAGGTGGAGCTCCAAGGAGAACTTGCTCGGAGCCACCGAGAGTGACCCTAATCTCTTTGTTGCACTTTATGATTTTGTAGCAAGTGGTGATAACACACTCAGCATCACTAAAGGTGAGGTTTCTATGTAACATGCTTTCACTTTTCAGTTTTCATTATTGATTAAGAGATAAAGAGGCCTGGCCAGGCTCGATGGCTCACACCTATAATTCCAGCACTTTGGGAGACCGAGGCGGGCGGATCACCTGAGATCAGGAGTTTGAGACCAGCCTAGTCAACATTGCGAAACCCTGTCTCTAATAAAAATATGAAAAAAATTAGTTGGGCATGGTAGCACATGCCTGTAGTCCCAGCTATTCGGGAGGCTGAGGCATGAGAATTGCTTGAACTTGGGAGTCAGAGGTTGCAGTGAGCTGAGATCACACCACTATACTCCAGCCTGGGTGACAGAGTGAGACTCCATCTCCAAAAAAAAAAAAAAAAAAATCCTGAAATACATTTTTCCCTCCCAGCAGTGGTTTTCATACATTCAAAAGGCAAGAATAAGCTTAGGCAGACTAGCAAATCAGTTCAGGTACACAAGGATAATGTCCCCATAATCCTATTTCTTTATCATAAAAGTTACTTTTTTGCCCTTGCCCTCGCTTGCTCTCTCTCTCTCTCTCTCTCTCTCTTCTCTCTCTGTCTCACACACACACACACAAAATCAATAATGGTTGATTTTATTTGATCATGTTCTTAATCCTATTTCTTTATCATAAAAGTTACTTTTT